GGGGAGCACTGACTCCATACTTCTCCTTTAAAGGAAAAAAATGTGCAGAGGGCAGAAACCTGACACAACCCGATGACTGCTGAACGCCGGCTCCTGATTGGCTGCCCTGAGCTCCACTCACCTTCATAGATTCCATTGGAGCCATTGCAGGCGGCGTTGTCACCGGACACACAGATGAACTCTTCCGGCAGAGGAGACTTTACATAACGCCTGGAGGAGAAACAGAGGATGGAGATGAGGAGAGGCAACGAGGAATACAAGTCTCAGGCCTGGGTCACACCTCGGCGTATTGCATATGCGCGATTCGCGGTAAAAAAAATAGCGCGACAAACACGCGTTTCCGAAGGCTACTTGGCTGTATCCCGATGGAAATGCGCAACAAAAACGGCCCAAAGTAGTCCCGGCACCTTTCCAGGCGCGGGCCGCTTTGTAGCGCGTTAGGGACGGGCGGGAATACGCCGAGGTGGGAACCAGACCATTGAATACAACGCGATTTAGATGTTTGAGCGTTTTGCAGAGCGTTCGGCGAGCGTAGAACCCGCCGCAAAACGTTCCGGTGGGACCGAGGGCTTAGAGTGCCCCGGCCCAGGGGCTGCAAACCCGAGCAGAAACATTGCTGTGTGGAAGTCACTGAGAAATCACACGCGTGTCCAGCAACATGCGACTGCATACCCTGACCGCCGTCATAAACACAGACGGCACGGGACGCAGGTCAGAGGATGGCCAGCTATACATACGTGACAGAGACACGGATCACCGAGAACACGGATAACATGCATATCAATTCTACAACACGAGACGCTGCATCAGAGAGATAACCAGAACCGGCCTCCCCTCCCCCGAGAGATAACCAGAACCGGCCTCCCCTCCCCCGAGAGATAACCAGAACCGGCCTCCCCTCCCCCGAGAGATAACCAGAACCGGCCTCCCCTCCCCCGAGAGATAACCAGAACCGGCCTCCCCTCCCCCGAGAGATAAAGAAGGAGGGACACAGTGACTAAGCACCAGATCTGCAGTGTCCTCCCCACCGCCCATAACACGCTGCCAGAGGGGTAGGTGGTTTGCTCTGTTTAAAGCAGAACTCCGTCCTCCCCTTCAGTCTTCTATCTGACCTCCGTCCTCCCCTTCAGTCTTCTATCTGACCTCCGTCCTCCCCTTCCGTCTTCTATCGGACCCCCGTCCTCCCCTTCAGTCTTCTATCTGACCTCCGTCCTCCCCTTCAGTCTTCTATCTGACCTCCGTCCTCCCCTTCAGTCTTCTATCTGACCTCCGTCCTCCCCTTCAGTCTTGCATAGTGGTCCCGGCTCCTCCCATTCCTCTGATGTCACTGCACACTGGGAGCGGCTCACAATGTGCATTAGAAGCAGCAAGTCAGATAGAGGCCGGCCTCATTTCCTGGCTGGAGGACGTCCAGCATCATCTATGCTTTCATCCCCAGCCTGACAGTCCCTGGCCCCGCCCCTTTCATTCATTGGCTATCAGTTCTGTCAATCATGGAGGTTCAGCATCACATGTGGGCGTTACCTAGGGCGGTCTGCATGCAAATACATCCTGCCTGGGAACGCCCACTCCTCCACACTGACCCCACCCATCAAGACATTTCAGCTTTCAGGAAGCACTACAAGACTCAGCACGCCATCCGCAGGCTGGAGAGATCACAGACAGTCCGTGTAATAGACGTGTTGTCACACGCGTGTCCGTCTGCCAGCGATGAGTGAAGTAG